CCTCTTACAAAAATCTTAACATGTTTTTTCGAAGCATGTCTTTAACGTATGTTAATAAGATTATCTTTTGAGCTCTTCCGATTACGGTCAGAAATGATCGCGTGATCTCGACATTTTTTTTGCCATGACTAACCCACTTAATGTACAATTCCTCAATCAAGAATTGGAACAAACGATATCGATAATAACAAAGACTGATATTTCTGCATCTGGACTTTGTCCGAAGTAAGTTCGGAGTCCCAAAAAGTCAATGCGAAATTGACTCAAGAATCGGGTTTGACAAGCTTTTTAATCGATTTAATATAAATTCAGTCAGATTTGAAAATATTCGATATTGAGAGGAATTTTATACGTAGGATAAGACAAAAATCAAATTTGTCAACCTTTTACATACGTATCCGCAAAAAGTTACCTAATATGTTCAATTTTGGCCTAAACAATTAACCTTAACAGTTAATAAGTTAATAGTAAATCGGTACTACGTAATGAAAATCTAACGAACATCAATCCTATCATTATAAATAGATAAAAAACTTATTAATTAAAAATTATGATTAGAAGTTTTCATATTTTTCATATGAATTTTTGGCGGGATTACAAACGATCGGTGATGAACTATCGATTCATTATAAAAAAATTTTTTTTTTAAAATCTACTTTTAAAATCTACTTTTAATAATATATGTACGTATAGATAATCGCATGAGAAAACATGTGATATTAATTTAACTTACGTAACTTATGTACTTTCGTATCGGCACACGTTTATTCGGAATTCCCATAGAAATATTCGAGTAACTTGACCTAAATAAATATAACCATATAAGAAAGTATTCTTTAAAATTATTTCACTTTCAAATTTCTTTTAACTTTCAAAATGGAAAAACAATATAGTATTTCTATTGGTGAAAAAGTTGAAGGGGAAACTCCCATGCGTCGTTCTTTGATTTCTCCAAACAAACTTGTAGACTCTCCTTCTGAGAATGTTAAAACTTTATACGATATGATGCAATATAGTGTTAAAACTCATGGTAATAAGGCAGCTATGGGTTATAGAAAAGTAGAATCCATAGTTGAGGAAGAAAAAGAAGTTACTAAGTTTGTAGGCGGTGAAGAAATTAAAGAAAAGAAAATTTGGAAGTATTTTCAAATGTCACCGTATACTTATTTAACTTATGAGGACGTTAACGAAGAAATTAAAAATATCGGTTCCGGTTTGACAAAAATTGGTTTACAACCTAATGATAAGATGACAATTTATGCAGCTACAACGTATGTCTGATTACCGAATTTTATAGTTTTTTTTTTTTTTTTTTTTTTTTGTTAATAATTTTTTTTTAATTATTAAAACAGTGTTAATTGGATGCTAGTAGCACATGGTATATTCTTTTTTATAAAATTTACTAGATATTCTTTTTTAGTGTGTTAAAAAAAGATTTTTTATAAATTAATACAGGATGCTTCAGACAAGGTGCTACTATTGTTACTGCGTATGAAACTCTAGGAGAAGATGGTCTTTTACATTCTATGAATGAATCAGAGGTTAAAGGCATATTTACTAACGCCGATCTACTTTCGATGACTGCAAAAGTTGCTGGAAAAGTACCAACACTTCAATATATTATCTATGATGGTGACTCAAAAGGAGAAGCAGATAAATTAAAAAATGATCATCAAGGAATTAAAATATTAACCTTGGATGAGCTTAAACAGTTAGGCAAAGAACATCTGGTAGAACCAAATCCGCCAAAATCAGAAGATTTATGTTGTATTATGTATACATCTGGTAGCACAGGGAATCCAAAAGGTGTTCTGTTGACTCATGGAAATTTAGTAGCTGCAAGTGAGTTTGTGTATTTTGATGATCAACGTTGCATGATCTTCATTTCGTAATATTGTTATGTCAACTTATCATGTCCATAATTATTTTAGTTGCTGGTACAAATGAATTACTTATAAAACATATTCGACCTGATGATACTTTAATTGCCTACCTCCCTCTTGCTCATGTGCTTGAATTCGCTGTGGAGCACGTATGTATTTGGTGGGGTGTCACTTTAGGTTATGGTAACGTGCGTACATTGACAGACGCATCTGTACGTAATTGTTTCGGTGATATCCGCGAATTTAAACCATCATTGATGGCTGGTGTACCGGCTGTTTGGGAATCTATTAGGAAAGGTGTTTTGTCTAAAGTCAATTCTGGTGGTCCAACCATGCAAAAAGTGTTTAATGCTGCTTTCAAAGCAAAATCATGGCTTATGAGCAAGGAATTACCAACTAAACCTTTAGATATCATGGTATTTAACAAGATCAGACAACAAACTGGTGGTCGACTGAGACTTGCTTTGTCTGGAGGTGCTCCCATTTCTAAAGAGACACAAGAATTCTTGAGCATTAGTTTGTGTCCAATATTACAGGGGTATGGGATGACCGAATCTTGTGGGTAAGTTTTTTAAAGTTCTGTGACTAAAACTATTTTGAATTTTATTTTATCAATAATATATGTTATGTTTTGTTGTTTTGTATTTAGTATGTGTGCTATCCTTTCGCCAGAACAATTTAGTTTCGGCTCTGTTGGTGCGCCAATTCCTTGTTTAGAGATTAAGTTAGTAGATGTTGCCGAGGCTGGTTACCTTTCCACGAATACCCGCCCGCAAGGTGAAGTTTGGATTCGCGGCCCTTGTGTCACGAAAGGTTATCATAAAAATGAAAAGGTTACAAAAGAGACCATAACTGAAGATGGATGGCTTCAAACCGGTGACATTGGGGAATGGAAAGAGAATGGAACTTTGTGTATTATTGATAGGAAAAAGAATTTAGTGAAACTCTCAAATGGAGAATATATTGCTCTTGAAAAACTTGAATCCGTCTACAAATCTACGCTTTTTATATCCAACATCTGTGTTTGTGCTAATTCATTTCTGAATAAACCTGTGGCACTCATACACCCTGTGGAAGCTCAGCTCCGAAATGTTGCAAAAGAGAAGAATTTAGGCAACATGGATTTCGAACAATTATGTTCAAATAAAGAAATAACAACTACAGTCTTTCAAGCTTGCCTTACTCAAGCGAAAAAGGCGGGTTTGAAACCTGCAGAAATGCTTGGTGATATTACGTTAGTACCTGATGAATGGACTCCTCAAAACGTAAGTCGTCAGCTTTTTTAATTTAATTATCGGATATAGCTTTTAATTCTTATTTACATTATAGGGTCTTATGACTGCTGCATCAAAAATCAAACGAAAAGATATACAAGATAAATATAAAACAGATTTAGATCGTATGTATAAAACTACAGGGGCATAAGATCGTCTTCATTACATTTATATTTGTGAAGTTACAATAAAATTTTAGTTTAATACAATATTTTTTGAATATAAAATTTTGTTTTTTATAATATCATTATTAGATTTTTTATTTTATTATTGTTTAAATAAATTTTTTAATAATTAATTATGTGTATACATTTCGTATACGTATTAGTTTAAAATAATTAGTAACAAAAAAAATTTTAAAAAATTTTAAATATATTAGTTATATTTTAAAATATTTAAAAAATTTTTTTATTGCTAAATTATTTCAAAAAGTATTTTTATTAAAAAATTTATTTAGTATTAAATTATTTAGAAATTGTAATAAAGTAAAAATAAGTTTTTTTTTTTTTTTTTATATTGTAATAATAAATAAATTTAGATTTGTTTATTTAAAATTTATAATAATAGTTAAAAATAATTAGATAATTGTTAGTTTTTAAAAATAATATAATATATAGTATTATAAATAAATTTAATATTTTTTTAAAAGAGTTTTTTTTGTTATTTGATTTTATTAATTTGGTTTGTAAAATATTAATAATAATAATTTTTTTGATTTGAAATTATATAATAAATATATAATTAGCTATACAACTTTAGTTATTAACTATTTTAAGTAGTTTACTATATAAATAGATTATTTAATCAGTTTTATATTAAGATATTATATTTGTAATCATCTGTAAATTACTTATTTAATTAGTTACTTATATAGAGCTTATGTTTTATTCTTAATTAATCACAGAAAGATTTTAGTATTTCATTTACAAAATAAGTTTTTTTATCAGTTAGTAAGACTTTAAAATATCTTTATCAACAAATTATATTCTTATAAAAGAATAATACAACTAAAATAGCTTTAGCATTAATTAAGATTTAGGGTTTAGGCTATTTGATTAAATAGTTAGTAGTAATTACAATATACTTATTGCTTTGTTCAGTTGTAAGTAAGAGTTTAATAATATCTATTTCTATTCAATCAAAAAGTTATCTTACTTTTATAGAATATAAAGATTCAATTTAAGTAGATTTGCCTCTTTGTTAGTATTTCTCATAATATTATATATAGATTCTTATATCCTTAAATATTTAAGACTAATAGTATTAAAGAACTATTTGTTTAAAAGTTTTATCTATTTTAAAATCTTTAATAAAAAAATTAAAATACAAGTTATATAGTATTGTTTTTACTTTATTATATTTTACTACTTTGAAAGATCAAGTAAGTTTTTTTTTGTTTTGCTTATAAAGTAGTCTATTTACTACTATAAAATATCAAGTTCTGTTTTTAATTTTCTTTTACTTTTTCTTATTTTTTTTTTATTATTATTAAAGCTATTTTTTTAGCTAATTAGATTTTATTAATTTGTTATTATAGAAGTTACTGAAATAATAATTTTTTAAGGTTTTATAGTGTTATAAAATAGGTTTTAGCATATTTTTTAATTATTTTATTTTTATATTATTATATATATTTTGATTTAGTTATCATCATTTTTCTTAATAACTTATTAGCTAAAGTTTAATTTATATTTTACTATTAGATTTAGCTTAATTAGACCTTTCAAATAAGCTATATTTTATATTTGTAGAATATGTAGTTATTAAGTTATCTTAGAAACAATATTATAACAAATTATCTTTTTTACCTTTTTTACTTTTTCTAAAAAGCTATATAAACTCTTCTTTCTCTTCTTCCTATAAAGTTAGTTTTAACTATTAGTTCTGACTACAAGTTTTAATAAATTCTTTAGTTATTACTTAATAAAGTTCTAAGTTCTCTACTAGTTCTTTAATAAATATAATCTTTTGGCTTTAAAAATAAACTTCTCTAACAAACTGCTATAGTGAAGTAACATTCCACTTTGATACTATTGGGAGTCCTCCATCTGTATCTTATGTTACTTGGAGTATATTAAGAAGGCTATACTACTTATAACATTTTGGTATTTTTTAGCAAAAATGTTAAAAATAGCATCTATAGGACCTCTTTTTAACTTAAAAAAGCTTCTCTTTCTCATCTTTGCTAATCTCCAAAACCAAAGAAGTCTCTCTCTTAAATTCTTTGATGATCCTTTACTTATATTACATAAACTCTAAAAAATGACTCATAGTATTTCAGCAATGATCTATGTTATACAAAAAATGAAATACTATTTTCCAACCCTAGAAATACTAAGTTGATATAATATACCTTTTTATAAAAGTATATTGAGACCTAGAGAAGACTATACCTATAACTATTTGAAAAAAATTGAAGCCTTCAAGAACTTTACCATTGATATGAGTAGACACAGATAAATAATATACAGATAAACTATTGAAATTGTAGTACATCTCAAGCTTTAAAAAAAAATTTAAAAAGAACCTTCCTCAAGAATGATTTACAATTATATATTGTATTTCACCAATATCTCTACAAATACTAAATATAAGAAGATAAAACATATACTATTATACTTGCAAAAACCTCTTCTATAACTTTTATTATAGTATATCTTAGTACAAAAATACTTCCCTAACCCATAAAATACTCTGAATAATTCTTTTACCATTTTCAAAATGATTTTCTTAAAGAAGCTTCTGAGAAGAGAAACATAGTTCTAGTGATTTACAAAAATCATCATATCTCACTCTTCTCTAAACCAATTTTAAAATTTCAATATGTATTAGAATTGTAAGGACTTGGTCTACAACTTTACTTAAGACATTAAGTTAAGGTTACATAGTATGAATATACTTCCAGAATAGCTTTTGTGAAAATAATCTGCAAAGTATTTTTTTTCTTATTGTGCTATATAGGCAAAAATTTTTAGAAATTTTTTTTACTTCCTACATGGTAGATGACTTTCACAAAACTCATTACTTTTAGATTACCATATACCTATAGTAACTAATGAAAGTGAGTTTTACAAACTAAAATATAACTAAACTTCTGAATATCATATAGAGTTGAAACAACTTTATCTTAAACAAATGATTTAGATATATTTATTTTTTTTTTGTTATTAGGGCTACTTCCTTGGCCAATTAAATTTTATTAGTTTGTTATTATGGAACTATTATATGAATAGTTTCCTAAGGTTTTACAGTTACATGATGAGTATATAACAAGCTACATGTACAACTTTAGTCATTATCTAATTTAAGTAGTTCGCCATATAAACGATCGACCATCTGTTAGTTCTATACTATACTACCATACCTGCAACCTGCCTGTAAGTTACCTATTTAAACACTCTAATTAGTAGCTCTTTCCCTCATTCCAAACTAATATCACTACTATAACCAACCACTTAAGCTAACTAGTTCATCTGTGGATCTATTCTCTGCACAGTTTAGGTCCTCTCGGGATGTGTGTGCCTAACATATTGTGAGCTACAGAGCTTCAGTTAACTTCAGAAGTAATTCTTACTAGAGTGGTTATTTGTCTATTTCACAGATTTACCTAGATTAGATCCTTGTCGATATTCGTACAAATTCAGTTTCTGCTATAGCCGTCTATCAGATATAGTCTTCAAGTTCTAGCCAAATATTTTACGAGGTAAATCCTCTCAATTTAGTTAGCCACTAAGCCATGTTAGTGTTGTTGCTAATGCAAAACATCAGGCTGCATTACATAGTAGACTTACTTGCACCTAACGATCTCATATCCTTCATACTCAGGTTTTTACTAGATCAGGTGTTAGCTAGCTTGACTATTGAAATCTGTACTACTTCACCAAACTCAGGATTTCTACTATGCAGGTCCTCTGCTCATAGATCCTATCAAGATTTATTCATGTAATGTAACTTGAGCATTATGTCATACTTCCAATATCTGATTAATATTGGTGTAATATGATTTACAGAGTGTAACCCTCAGAAATGAGCAGAGTTTACTATAAGTTGAGTACAAAGATTTAGGTAATTATTCAAATTCATTAACAGTAGGATTTGAACCTCAGACCTCTTGCATAACAGTCTGGCAACCTAACCATTATACTAAGATCATTAAATCCAATTAGACATATTTATATTCTTGTAGATCTATAATATTAGATGATACTTATACTCAACACTATTATAGATATAGACCTAGAACATTATAAACATTACTTTGAACATTCTATTTTTAATTTATTTATATCAAAACAGTTTGCTACTTCTGAGCAAAAGTGAGCTGATAATGAGGAATGTCTTTACCCTTTGCAAGTAGAAAATATATAAAAAGACTTACAGTTTATTAATTTTAAGCAAATAATAACTGGTAGTTTTTATGTTGCTACTTCTCAAAAACATAAAGAAATTTAATTTAATTTATCAAGCTAGGAAGATTCTATCAAGTATTCTTAAATATTAATACTTAGAAAATTCAATTATATACACATTAATAAAAAATTTTAAATTTATTTCTACAGTATTAGAAACAGATTTTGAATTCCTAAATATAATATATCTAGATAATAAAGATTTCTAAATGAAATATCTCTGAATGTAGCTCGCAACTTACTGCAACTCTACAAGATAAATAATACTCTGATAGATGAATATCTCATGAGCCAAATATGTAGACATAAGGACTCTTAAATCTTATAGCTTACTGCAACTCTATAGGATGAATAATGCTCTGATATATAAGTACTCTATAAGCCAAATATGTAGGCGTAAAGACTCTTAAAGCTCACAGCTTACTGCAACTCTACAGGATGAATAATGCTCTGATGGATGAGTACTCCATAAGCCAAATATATAGATGTAAGCTTAAAGCTTACAGCTTATTGTAACCCTATAGAATGAATAATGCTTTAATGAACAGGTATCTTACAAGCCAAATATATAGACATAAGGACCTAATATTATTTTGAAAATAGAAAATACAAATTAATATTTTTGATATTTGGAATATACTACAATATTTATAACAATAATTTGCAACTTTAAAATTTTGACCTCTCTACTATAACCTCTTTAAAAACAATACTCTTCTTTTTTCTACATTCTTAAATTTAA